GATCATGGAAGGGAGATTACACCTTCCCCTCGGAATTGTGGGGAGCCTTTGGACCATTTTAAACAACAGTATTGTCTTTCCTACTCTTCAACGTCGACTGAACTAGGAGGCAGGAATTATTATCATGTAACTACTATGACAATGCTTGGAGGTCAATTTTATTACTTTTCTTCTCCAATTGAGTAAACTGAGACTCACAGGGTAACTCAATTGCCCAGGATTACCCCGCAGGTGGAGCCAACACTTGAACCTGAGTATTGGAGCCTTCAGGCCCAGTGACTGCATTTTCCAGTTTGGCTTCAAGGCAAAAGCATTATCTTATTTATTGATCTGTGTTTTTCTAGCTCTCCCTACTTAGCCCCAGCTCTCCAAAAGTCAGTTGAGTCTGGGGAGTTGAAAAAGTCAAACATGACCTGGCCTTTTATTTATTTTTTAAAGTCCACCAGGCTCTAGAAATGGCTGTAGGAGCTCACAAATTAAGTGCACGTTGAGGTCAGAGGCCCCTTTCTCCCCTTCTGAGCATATTCCCTTTCCCAAGCCAGTCTCTGGGAGAGGAATTTTGCCTATGGGAGCTGTCTCAGGTGCCGACTGCTCCCTCTGACCTTTCCTTGCCTCCCTACCACATTCTTGCATCTCAATCAGAACTGGTCAATGTTTCACTCCCCCAGCTCCCCTCCACGCCGGATCTTCTGAGGCTGGTGAACAATTAACCTCCAGCAGCTCTTGATCTTCTCTCCCCGGAAGCCTGCCAGCACTTAACTGCTGGGTGTCAATGATCTACCAAACCTGACAGGTCCCGGGTGTCCTCTCTGGTCTCCCAGGAGCCACACATTTTTACAATGATTCTGACGATATAAGATTCTTCCAGACAAGGAAATACATCTTGGGGAACAACAGAGCCCAAACACCTGCATTAACTCCTGAGTCACGTTTTCTGTTGGAAATTCCTACAAAGAACCAGAGAAGAGGGAGGAAGATTCTAGTCTAGCTCTAGCCAGCTGGCCTCAACCAAGACTCTTCACTTGTGCAGGTCTTCTCTTCTTCATTTACAAAACGAGGAGCGTCATTCTCCCCTCACACTTTTATACGGATTAAATGGCAATGTGTGCAAAACTCTAACCCATGGTAGCAATTTAATAAGTATTCATACTTAAGAAACTGTAGCCTAGGGCACCTGGGTAGCTCAATCGGTTAAATGTCTGCCTTTGGTTCATGATCCCGGGGTCCTGGGATCGAGTCCCGAGTCAGACTCCCTGATCAGTGGGGAGTCTGCTTCTTTCTCTCCCTCTGCCACTTTCCATGCTTGTGCTCTCTCTTTTGCTCACTCTCTCTCTCGCAAATAAATAAAAAATCTTGAAAAAAAATAAAAGAAACTGTAGCCTCAAGTTGATCAAATCATAGAATGCTTCAACTGGAAAGGGCCTCATGGAGCTTGTACATCTTTTACCGAGAGGGAAATCTGGCATGTATCCAATGATCTCTCAGCAAGTAAGGGGTCTATAGTCTAGCTCAGCTCTGTCTAGTAGAAATCCAACATATAAATCATACATGTAATTTAGACGTTTCTAGCAATGTTTTAAAAAGTAAAAGGAAACAGGAGAAATTAACTTTAATAACATACTTTACTTAATTCAGTATACACAAATATATTATCATTTTATGTAAGTAATATAAAAACTATTAATGAAATATTTTACTTTTTTGTACTAAACCTTCAAAATCTGGCGTGTATTGTACACTTACCGCACAATCAACTCAGACTAGCCACATTTCAAGTGCTTGATAGCTACGCATGACTAGTAACTACATTATTGGGCAGTGCAGGTCTAATTGAATTAAAGACAGCAAATATTTTGTGCACCTGTCATGTGCCAGGCACTCTGTTAGATGCAGGGAGATGAGGAACAAACAGCAGGGGACTAGGGGGACAGCTTTGGAAACCACAATCATAATCCAAGGCTGGGAGTCCCGCCCCCTCTAGGCTGCTGGATTACTCATCTGTTTGGTTGAGCAAGTCCAGAAGAAAATTCTCTTGGGAAAATATCGATACCTCTAGGGCATTTTCCTCTGCTCAGGTATCAGAGGATAGAAAAGCATTTATGGGACCACCTTAGATGGGACCAAGGGCAAGTCCTCCACTGGAACAGGATGAACGCAGATAGGTTGGCTGATTTTTGAGATGGGAAGTTTCTGTAGTTTTTTTTTTTAATTGCTTCTATGTTAATTTCTCAGGGAAATAGCAGGTATATACTTTTACATATATGCCCAAGAGAAAGAAAAACATATGTCTACTTAAAAACTTGTATGTGAATGTTTAAGCATTAGTCATAAGAGCCAAAGTGGAAACATCCCAAATGTCCATCAACTGATGAGCAGAATATAGCATGTGGTATATCTATGCAAGGGACATTTCTTCAACAATAAAAAGAAGTACTGACTCATGCCACAATAGGGAATAATCTTGAAAACATTATGCTAAGTGAAAGAAGCCAGTCACCACGAAAGATCACATATTATATGACTCTACTTATATGAAATGACAAGAATAGGCAAATCTAGAGAGAAAGCAAGTCTGTTAGTGGTTGCCTAAGGCTGAGATGGGGCTAGGAGGAAATAGGATGTGACAATTGATGGGTATAGGTTTCTTTTTGGGTGATGAAAATGTTCTAAGATTGATTGTGCTGATGACTGCACAACTCTGAATATACCAAGAAACATTGCATTTAAACTTTAAATGGGTGGATTGTATGGTATGTGAATTACATCTCAATAAAGCTGTTAAAAAAGAAAAAAAAAAGAAAAGCACTTATGTGTACTGAGCTGCTCTTACGTCCCAGGCGTTGAGCTCTGCACTCAACAGGATGGATTTACTTCTCATAGTGACTGTGTGGGGACAGTATTTTGTCCATTTTAAAGAAAAGGAAATAAAGGCTTGGAGAAGTTAAATAATTTGTCCAAGAGTCTTACAGTTTATCATAGGTGAACCTAGGGCTCGGTCTCAGGAAGCAGGCATCTTTAACTTGGTCATTGTCACCCCATGGGGATGTAAGAGAGATGAATGTTCATTGACCATTACTATTTTGGCCTATTCATAAACATTCCCAAAGCTTCTTGAATTAAGTGACTGGAGGTTTATTTATTTATTTTTTTAAAGATTCACTTATATATTTTTAGAGAGAGAGCACGAGATGGGGGTGGGGGCAGAAGGAGAGGGGAATCCTGAAGCAGACTCCCCGCTGAGCGCAGAGAAGGAGGCAGGGTTTCATTCCAGGACCTTGAGATCGTACCTGAGCCGAAATCAAGAGTCAGGCACTTAACCACTTAACCAGCTGAGCCACCAAGGCATCCCTGGAGGTTTATTTTGATAACAACTTCCCATCCCAGGGAAGCTCCCCCTGCTTGAAGCTTCTTTCAACTCAGTTCCTCTCAGCTGCTGAGAACGAACCACTGTGTCTCAGAGGCCTCAAGTTGAAAAGGGTGTCAGGCTCAAGTTCATCTCAAGGAGGGTTTACCTCATTTCTCTAACCTGAGCATGTTGCCCACAGCTTCCCTTTGCCAGTGTGCTGAGGAGCCGGGCCAGGAATGGCTTTTTCTTTCCCAAAGCCTGGACAGCTCTGCCTCTGGTTCCTGCTGCCATCACTTGGGACCTGTGTATGCTGGTTAATAAAAGCCCCCAGAACGTGAATACACACCAAGCTGGAGCATGGGCTATGGCAGCTACAATATTTCCCGAAAGAATGTCAGCTGCCCTGAGGGTCACAGATAAGAAGCTTGTAAACTCAGAATAATCAAGGGGAATACAATATTCTGATCAAGTTCATCAGTGTGATTTAATGGGGAAATCTCCCTTTAGAGGAGAGTAGACAGCGTGTTGGGGGGTGGTACCAATTCCTAGACAAGAGTGATACTTTACATCAAGAAACAAATAAAAATTAGACCACATCCTAAAACATAGAGCATATGACACCCTGTGGGGCTTGCCTGGCTGAACTTGAACTAGATTGAGGGAAGGATTTTTAAAAAACCCTCAAAAACTACAGGTTTATTCTGTCATTTGAAATAATGTATTTACTTGTATTTCATTCAGTCAACAAATACTTTTTTAATTGCCCACTAGGCACTGTACTAACCATTATACATACAAGTTTGAAGACAGTAAAATGGATCTACCCATATGGGGGATTTTCAGTCTAGCAGGAAGCAGATAGGAAGAAGAAAAATACCAGGGAAAGGCACCCAACTTTCAGGTGCCAGAAGCTAAGACCCTAATATTGAGAAGTCTGGATTTCAGAAGTCATGTGTGGATATGCAAATTTTGGAGCCAATCCATGATATTTAAAACCATGGGAATGAATGAGATTCCCTAGGTAGGAAAAAAAAAGGTTCAGGACTGAGCACCTACGGATATTGATAGTTCTCGAGGGGTGGGCTAGGAGGAGCTGACAAGGGACAGGGTGAAGGGGAGGAGCAGAGAGTCAACTTCGGTGTGAAGAGTGCCTCATCATGCCTAACGGCTGCTGGGAGACAAAGTAAGCCAGCAACAACAAAGGAGGGTTGTTTGGATATGGTGTCCTGGTGACATCGGTTAGTCATTGAGGGGTTTGGGTGAAATTTAAATAAGAAGCGGGGTTGTGAGGACAGAGCAAGAAGTTTGCTCTTTTGGAAAGTTTGGCCAAAATAGGCATCTGAGAAATATAGTGATAGCTAGAAGGGGAATCCCTTGGGTTGGTCAAGAACATTTTGGGTTTTGATCTCAGAGAGGGCATAGAGATGATGTTTTTGTGTCCACGGTCACCCTGTTCCTTCTTCCTGGAGTGTCTCTCTGGCAAATTTCTAGCTATTCCGTAAGGTCCAGATTTAAGTGTGCTGTCATCTGTCAAAATTTTCCCCAGGCCCATGTAGATGTCTGTCTTGAGCCCCCAAGCCATTCTGTATGCACGTTGTCTTCCTTATCTGACTGCATGGTAATGGAAACTTTTTCTGTCTCTCTTCTCCATTAGACAAAAACGATGTCCTTGAAGCATATGGACTGTGTCTTCTCAAACTTGTATGAGCACAGGTAGGTGCTTAGAAGTTGACACTTGGAAGATATCCATTAAATATTTGACAAATGAATAAGTAAACGAATGAATAAACTAACCATGAGTTTGGAAGCAGTTTGAGTGGCAACTCTAGGATATGAATGGAAAAATGAAGGTACAGAGCAGTTTGGAGTTTGATAATTTCACAAAGTCGGAGGAGCACCTGCAAAAACCATCAAATCTCCGGCCTGACCCTGTTCACTGTTCCCAGGTCCCTGCCAGCCCGCAAGACACCAGCAGCTGAAACCCTCCCATTCACATCAAGCCTCAAACTTCACCACAGACACACAGACCTTGGGTGTGGGTGGCCGGCCAGGGATGGGGGGGCGGGGGGGACTTGGCTTCCTGCAGATGGAAAGCATCAGGCTGTGGGCTAGAAAAACTGAAGCTCAAGGGGTCCACAAGGTGTCACTGTTGATCCTTGGCTTAAAAAAAACTGATTTGGGCAGGGACTTTAGAAAGCTTTTAAAAGCACTTTGCAGATGAAGAAACTCAGGCACAGAGAGGTAAATATGATTTTAACTAAGCTCACATAACAAGTTAGTGGCAGAACAATTCACAGAATCCAGTCCCTTAACTTTGGAGCCAACGTAACTACCTTCTCCCACTGCTCTTAGAGGGGCATTTAAAGATGAGGACCCAGCAGTCTCTACAATCATTCACTCAAGACAGTGGCTCTAGATTGGAAATAGACTAGAGAAAAAATGGAGAAAGAAAAGAGAATGAAGAAAAGCCCCCAGCTTTCACCTTCACATGTGCTGTATTCACAGTGTCTGGGTTAGATACCGTCGCCGACAATGAGAGCACAGCACGCAGGGCCTCCGTCTGCGGCGGGGTTTGAAGAGCTGAATAGAAAGTCTCAGGTAATGGATTTCATCCTTTTTTGGCTTCAGCTTAAAAAGAGTCTGGTTCCCAAGGAAAACAAGAAGCCAAGTTGCTTCAGCAAAGAATTACTGAAACCTAAGTAGGAACTAGATACAAACATTTGCTGGATGGGACAAGGATACATTTCTGGGCCCTGCTGTTCAGGGAATGGGAGGCTTCAGGGCAGAAGAGCCTTTGTGAGCCAGTGACCCCGAGACCAGGCATTTATCCCCGTGTCTGGAAAGAACCACGTAGCCAAGGAGTCCCGAGGGAGGGACTCTGGGCTCCCGTCCAGGTGTCCCATGAGGTCGCTCCCATGCTCCTTGGCCTGAATGCCATCAGCCCCTTCTGCTCCCTGTGTGGCTTCTATTGGAGTCTCCTTTTCTTGCCTCCCAGGTAACATTTTTTTTTTAAATTAAAAGAGCTTTATTATTTACTTAGGTAATAAAATTAATATGAGCCCATGACAAAAATTCAGGTACCAAGTAGCAGAAAGAAGAAAAGGTAAGATCCATAATCCTTCCATTCAGAAATAATTGCTGTGAACAGCAGTTGGCCTGCAGTGCACCTACCTGGTGTGTGAGGTCCCGGGTTCAGAGCCAGGAAATGACACCCACCCATCTGACTTCTCCCAGAGCTTACATTCTAGTGGGGGGTGGGGGGGAGATATCAGTCAATTTTAAAAAGAAGTGAAATATATAGGATGTCAGATTGTAGTAAGCACTATGAACACAAATAAACCAGAGAAGGGGATGGGGACTGAAAGTAGGATATTTATTTATTTAGATTTATTTATTTGAGAGAGAGAGTGAGAGTGGGGGCGGGGGGCAGGGAAGAGGGGCAGAGGGGGAGAGAGAGAGACTGAAGCAGACTCCCTGCTGAGTGTGGAGCCTGATGCGGGGCTCGAGCCCACGACCCTGAGATCATGACCTGAGCCAAAAGCAAGAGTCTGACACTTAACTGACTGAGCCACCCAGGCACCCCAAAACTAGGATATTTAGAAAGAAACATTTGAACAAGGACCTGAAGCAGATGAGGGAGCAAACCATGTGGACATCTGAAGGAAGACTTTCCTTTACCTTCTATTTTCTGTGCACATATAATAATGCAATGATAGCATAAGCAATGTATGACTACATCCTCAATGTGAAAGACTTCAAACGACACAGGAATATGTGAGTACCAAGAGTCCATCCTTCTCACCACTCTATCACCTCCTCCCTCCAAGTAAACACTTTGACAATGGGGTGTTCCCTGCTTGAACTTTGTCTCTGCATTTATGTCCGTTTCTGTATATCTCACGCACGCGTTTAGCTTTATTTCCTACATAAATGAGATTATTCTTTGTGAAAGTGATGCCCTTTTCTTTTCAGCAGACAGGCTCTTCTTCTTCTTTTTTTTCCCCTTCAATTCTCTTTTATTTTATTATGTTAGTCACCATACATCATTAGTTTTTGATGTAGTGTTCCACGATTCATTGTTTTCGTATAACCCCCAGTGCTCCATGCAGTACACGCCCTCCTTAATACCCATCACCAGGCTAACCAACCTCCCTCCCCCCTCCCCTCTAAAACCCTGTTTGTTTCTCAGAGTCCATAGTCTCTCATGGTTCATCTCTCCCTCCGATTACGCCCCCTTCATTTTTCCCTTCCTTCTCCTAGTGTCCTCCATGCTATTCCTTATGTCCCACAAATAAGTGAAACCATATGATAATTGACTTTCTCTGCTTGACTTATTTCACTTAGCATAATCTCCTCCAGTCCCATCCACATTGATGTAAAAGTTGGGTATTCATCCTTTCTGATGGCTGAGTAATATTCCATTGTATATATGGACCACATCTTCTTTATCCATTCATCTGTTGAAGGGCATCTCGGCTCTTTCCACAGTTTGCCTATTGCAGACATTGCTGCTGTGAACATTGGGGTGCATATGGCTCTTCTTTTCACTATGTCTGTGTCTTTGGGGTAAATACCCAGTAGTGCAATTGCTAGGTCATAGGGTAGCTCTATTTTTAATTTTTTGAGGCACCTCCACACTGTTTTCTAAAGTGGCTGTACCAACTTTCATTCCCACCAACAGTGTAAGAGGGTTCCCTTTTCTCCACAACCTCTCCAACATTTGTTGTTTCTTGCCTTGTCAATTTTTGCCATTCTAACTGGTGTAAGGTGTATCTCAATGTGGTTTTGATTTGAATTTCCCTGATGGCTAATGATGATGAACATTTTTTCATGCGTCTGTAAGCCATTGGTATGTCTTCTTTGGAGAAATGTCTGTTCATGTCTTCTGCCCATTTTTTGACTTGATTATTTGTTTTTTCGGTGTTGAGTTTGAGAAGTTCTTTATAGATCTTGGATACCAGCCCTTTATCTGTAGTGTCATTTGCAAATATCTTCTCCCATTCTGTGGGTTGCCTCTTTGTTTTGTTACTGTTTCCTTTGCTGTGCAGAAGCTTTTTATCTTGATGAAGTCCCAAAAGTTCATTTTTGCTTTTGTTTCACTAGCCTTTGGAGAAGAATCTTGAAAGAAATTGCTGTGGCCGATGTCAAAGAGGTTATTGCCTATGTTCTCCTGTAGGATTTTGATGGATTCCTGTCTCACATTGAAGTCTTTCATCCATTTTGAGTTTATCTTTGTGTATGGTGTTAGAGAATGGTTGAGTTTCATTCTTCTGTATATAGCTGTCCAATTTTCCCAGCACCATTTATTGAAGAGACTACCTTTTTTCCATTGCATATTTTTTCCTGCTTTGTTAAAGATTATTTGATCATAGAGTTGAGGGTCCATATATGGGCTCTCTATTCCATTCCATTGGTCTATATGTCTGTTTTTGTGCCAGTACCATGCTGTCTTGGTTTTTCTTTTTCAACATCTTCTTGGTGATTCGGGGTCTTTTCTGATTCCATACAAATTTTAGTATTGTTTGTTCCAGCACTTTGAAAAATGTCATTGGAATTTTGATCGGGATGGCATTGAAGGTATAGATTGCTTGGGGCAGCACAGACATTTTAACAATGTTTATTCTTCTGATCCATGAGCATAGAATATTTTTCCATCTTTTTGTGTCTTCTTCAATTTCTTTCATTATTGTTCTGTAGTTCCTAGAGGATAGATCCTTTACCTCTTTGGTTAGGTTTATTCCGAGGTATCTTATGGTTTTTGGTGCTATTGTAAATGGAATCGTTTCTCTAATTTCTCTTTCTACAGTTGCATTTGTTAGTGTATAAGAAAGCAGCTGATTTCTGTGCATTGATTTTGTATCCTGCCACATTACTGAATTGCTGTATGAGTTCTAGTATTTGGGGGTGGAGTCTTTTGGATTCTCCACATAAAGCATTATGTCATCTGCGAAGAGAGAGAGTTTGACTTCTTTGCCAATTTGAATACCTTCTTAATGTTTTCTAAACTTCAGAGGTCTAGGAGAACTATGGCCCATACTACTAAAATGAAATTGAGTGTGGGTGGAGGTTTCACTTCCTCCCCTGGGCTATTAATCTAGTATTCACTGCATTAAATTATACTAATTTGTTTCTGCCTCTGTCTCTTGTCCTGGACACTGAGTTCTTTGTGGTCAGGGGTTCTGTCTTGTCATCCCTGACTTTCCAGGGCCTGTACAATGCCTAGCATATGGTGGGCATCTGGTAAATGAATGGGCAGTTAATTTCACTTGTATACATTACCCGAGAAGACCTCCAACATTGGATGGAATAGAGGCTGAGATCGATGTTATGGTCTGTCCTAACAGGAGCCAGTTTATTCTCCACTGAAAAAATCTGTGTCACTGTTGGATACAGGGACTGTGGATTCAGCCAGGATGACTGTGGTCAAGTCATTCAGATCATGAAGTCCAATGTTAGCATTAGAATTAAAAGACCAACTAAAGAGAACTAACTTTCACTCCCTTTGCCAAAAGAAATGGGCATTTAGTGAGTACACAAATGTGCTAAGCATTTTATAACATATTCATCATTCAAGGCAGAAAACAATGAGTTTTAGTTTGCAGATGAGTAAAACCACAAATCAGAGGTTAATATGGATATGATGTGGGCCCATTAAAGTGTCACTATCCAGATTTTCTTAACATTTCCCCATATTTGTTTTAGATTGGGGTTTTTTTGCGGGGGGGCCTGGGTGATGCAGTCAGTCAAGCGTTGGACTCTTGGTTTCAGCTCAGGTTGTGATCTCAGGGTCATGAGATCAAGCCCACCTCAAGCTCCGCACTCAGCAGGAGTCTGCTTGAGATTCTCTCTCTCTCTCCCTCTGCACCCTCCCACTCGTGCTCTCTCTCTCTCTAATAAAAAATAAATAAGTCTTTAAAAAATAGATTTTTTTTTTCCAAAAAAATGAACCAATAAATATACCCTGGAGGGCCGTATTCACGAATTCCATTGCCAACACTGGATGAGATAATTTAAAAGTCACTTAATGGAACTTCATCACTTAGTCGACAGACATTAATTGAGCCCAGGCGCTGGGCTAGGCCCTATGGATACAGAAAGGAATGATACATAGTCCCTGCCCAAAGGGACCCCACTTTGTAAGGGGAGAGGCGTGACAGATACAAAAGGTTTTACAGTTGAGAAACTGAGGCTCAGGGATGGAGGTGACTCTTCCAAGGGACAAAGCCAGGTTTGGAGGCCAGGGGCTAAGTGAAGCTGTCTTCAGGGAGGACCCTATAGCACGTCCCTGCCCAGTGACAGCAGGCTGGACCCTTACTGGAGGTGGCTCCTCTCTGAGTGGTGCCAGCTACGCAGCAGAGCTGGTCTGATACAATCAAGCCGAGTCTGTGAGAAACACTCACGGGTGTTTGCTCTCTCTTCACTAACCATCTTTTTGCTGCAAAGAATTAAATTCTTTCCTGGTGACACACATTTCCTGTCAGGATGAGGCACACCCAGTTGAAACACCCAAATTAAATGAAGAAAAATCCTTTTAATTCCTCTAGGTACACACGTTTGGGTTCCACTGGATTGTTGCCATTTTCCCAGGGGCCAAGCCA